GGGGACCATTTTAACAATTCAGTTATTTAAAACAATTTTAAGCAGACGCTGCACCTGTGGGAATATGCTAGGAAGAAGACGAAGAATGATTTAAAATAATTTTTAAAATACTTTAATTTTTGTTTTGTCATTCACGTTTCATTTTGTTTCTCAATTTGCAAGCATTCTTTTTTTTTTTTTAAATTTGATTTATATGCCGCCCTTCTCCGGAGACTCAGGGCGGTTTACAATGCGTTAAGCAATAGCCTTCATCCTTTTGTATATTTTATACAAAGTCAGCTTATTGCCCCCACAAACTGGGTCCTCATTTTACCTACCTTAGAAAGGATGGAAGGCTGAGTCAACCTTGAGCCTGGTAAGATTCGAACTTACAGTAATTGCAGGCAGCTGATGTTAATAACAGTGCTTTTAGTCTGCTGAGCCACCAGGCCCTTTTGTAAAAATATGGAACGCTTCACGAATTTGCGTGTTTAATGATTCTATTCCATCATTTCTTGATATTAGTGTAACTCTTGCCCCAAGGTGAGTTGGTCATGGTGAATTAGCTGCAGTGAGTTGTCCTAGACCAGTGATGGCTAACCTTTTCCAGACCGAGTGCCCAAGGCACGCGTGGGCGAACGAGAATGCGCACGCGTGTCCCCAAACCGCAAAAATGCAATGCGTACACGGCCCCTGCGCATGTGCCGTGCCCCCTGTGCAGACCCAAAGGCCAGCTGGCCAGTGGGAGGTACGCGCACATGCGCAGCAGAGCTGAACTGGGGCGGCGGCTCGCATGCCATCAGAGAGGGTGCTGTGTGCCACTTCTGGCACGCGTGGCATAGGTTCACCATCACAGTCCTAGACCCGTCTCCTCTTGTTCCTTTTGGTGTCTAGAAAACTAGAGAGAGCCCCTTCTGAGATGCTTCCCCCACCCCTTTTTCCTTCTGGAGGTTGAGATATCTTTTGTCTGAAGCAGGGGTGAAATGTAAAATTTGTTACTACCGGTTCCGTGGGTGTGGCTTGGTGGTGGTGATGGGTAATGTGACTGGGTGGGCGTGGCCAACCTTTTTTTTTTATTCATTTTTAAAAGCATTTTTTCTACAACCTTAAGAGGTTGTAGAAAAAATGCTTTTAAAAGTAAAAAAAAAAAGCTTCTGAGATCACGCGGCTTAGCTGGGCATGGGGGGGAGGGGCGCAGGGATTTTTGCTACCGGTTCTCCAAACCACCCGCCACCATCGCTACTGGATTGGGCGATCCGGTCCAAACCGGGAGCATTTCACCCCTGGTCTGAAGGTTGTCTAAGCTGCAGCTTTTCCTCCCATCTCCCAGGATCATCCCCACATACCATTTAACTCTGCGTGTCCAGGGTACGCCAGACTGTCACGCAGCTTGTAATATTTCAGTTTCCCCTATCAAAAGTGGCTGCGTCCAGATATCTTCCTCTCTGACGCTTCTCTCTCTGCAACCTAGCCAGTAATTAGTTGCTTGAGGTCAGAGCAATTTTTAAATTTATTTTATTTATTTATTATGAAATTTACTTGCCACCCATCTCGTTTCGAAGCGACTCCGGGCGGCTTACATTAAAAATCAGATACAAGCATACTGTCAGCGCTTCAACGCTGGCATAGAGAGGAGAGAGAGATAAGCTCTGAACTTTTGCCTGCTAAATCCCTTTGAAGTCGGGTTGTCGTGGAAATGAGGAGGGGGGACATTCCTGGGAAATGACGAGACAAGAAGCCTGAAGAATGACTTGGAAGATAGCCAATGAGAAGCAGAGATTGGGGGATCGGAAAGGGAGGGATTGGGGGGCAAAAGGTCAGTCTTGTCCGCATCGAGTCATGATCCGGTGGCTGTGCTCAATTAAAGAAAAGATTTCCTTAAAGATTGGCAGTTTGGAAATTCATTTATTTTGAGATAGCATCGAAGTCTGACACATACCCAATAAAACCACAATCCAAACAGAATAAAACCTGTTTTATTCAGATTTCCCACCTTCTTTTTTCCAGAGTCTAATCATTTATGGGAGGGTGTGAGGGGATGGATTCCTTCTGAGCCAGAGCGATAATGCCGGAGAGGCGATGGCTGATTTTCCTGCTCTTTTTGGCTTTTCCAGGAACTAAACCGGTTGCGAAAGGCCGCCTTAGCCTTTGGGTTTTTGGACCTGCTGAAAGGGGTGGCGGATATCCTGGAGAGAGAATGCACCCTCCTGCCTGACACGGCGCATCCCGACGCGGCCTTCCAGCTCACCCACGCAGCCCAGCAACTCAAAATGGCGAGCACCGGATCTTCCGAGTATGCTACTTACGACCACAACATCACACCGTTGCAAACGGACTTCTCTGGCAGTGGGACGGAGCGGATGTGATCCACTCCTGGGCAGAGACTCTGTGGAGATTCCACGCCCTATACCAGGGGTGTCAAACTCAGTTTCATTGAGGGCTGCATCAGGGCTGTGGTTGACCTTGGCGGTGGGGAGATGTTGGGGTGTGTAGCCGACTGGATGGGTGTGGCCAACTGGGTGGGCGTGGCCAGCTCGACGCCACTCCCCAAACTGCTGCCATGTTTCCTCTTTGTATTGGGTAGACCAGACCGAAGCGACGCGGGGTGGCCCCTTACATTTTCCAGGCCGGCCCCCTGGGCCAGATCCGACCACATCACCTTGTTTGATACCCCTGTTCTATAAAATATCGAGACTGCTTTCCTCACCCAGATTGGATGTTTATTAAACCTACTCCATTTGTATTTCGCTTTTCCTTCCATCATAAAAACCCCAGGAGGTTTTTTCCCATCTCTACACAACCAGCCCACGACAGATTAAAAACATGATGTCCTTCTCAAAGCTTTTTTTTTTTTTTTTTTTTTTTTTTGGAGCATTGAAGGATGCCTCGAATGGAATCAAATTGGAGGAAACTGAAGCAATATCTTGCTTTTAAAATATATTTACTTCTGCTGAGTATCAGGGTCCTGGTTGATGGGTTTTTGAACAAACCAGAGCATTAGCTCACCTAGTTTATTTCAGCCCTTTGAGGTAGATCAGACTAGGAAACTGAAGTCGTGACTGCTAATGCTATCTTTATTTGGTTTTGGTAACAGAATCTTGGAAGTGTCACTGCTGTGTGTGTCCGTCGTCCGCCCGTTTATCTTTGTGAGAACTGAGGAGGGGGTTATGTCTGAGACACTTTCTCAAATTATCCCAAAGGTGCTTTTTCCAAAAGGCAACAAAAGGACTTCATCTGGTTGTTTTATCTCATTCTGAGATGAGTTGAGGTTACTTGGGAGTTTATCCAGTTCCACTAGAACCGAACAAGCTTCTTAGGTGAAAAGTGAAATGTTTTCAAAGAAAAAAAATGAAGGAAGTCCAGCTGCCTTTTGGAAAAAGCACCTTTGAGGGTACCCGGACTCCAATTTCATTTATCTGACATTGCCTCGCTTCCTCCTGTTCAAGGTTATTTCTACTGCCTTTTAGTTCAACTGTTACATTTGAAGTAGAGTGTAAGATTATTTTTACACTGCATATATCTTGCTTTGAACCTATACCTGTGTGAATCCTTTTAAGTTAAATGGACAACCAGTGACTTAAAGCTAATGCACAAGCTGCAGCCATCTAAAAAACAGAAAGCTCAAATTCGTTCCTTTCTGTCATGATAGAAGGTTTGAGACCCATAGAGTCACACCTGGCTACCCTACAATTGAAAACTCCCAGTAAGGAGGAATCTGGTCATGCTATCTCTTTGGATGGTCCATATATGGGTAATTCTTAACTTACAAGCCCAGGATTCCTGTTACTAAGCAAGGCGGTTAAGGGAGTCCCTTCCAATTTTATGGTCTTTTTGCCATGGCTGCTAAGCAAATTGTTGCAGTTGTTAAGTGAATTGTGAGGTTGTTAAGCGAATCCAGCTTCCGGCATTGACTTTACATGTCAGAAGCAGGCCAGGAAGGTCACACATGGCAATCCTATGAGCCGTGTGATGCTGCATCTGTGATAAATACATGCCTGTTACCAAACTGCCAAGTTTTCATCAAGTGGCCATGGAATGCTGCGATGGTCATACGGACCGGTTGCAAGACACCTTTTCTTAATGTCATTGTTAAGTTTGAGCAGTCACTAAATGAACAGTAGTAAGTTGAGTGGAACTACTGTGTTTTCCCCAAAATAAGACCGTCTTATATTTTTTGCCACCAAAAAAGGCATCAGGTCTTATTTTGGGGGGATGTCATCCATTGAGACTTCACTTGTGTGCATCGCCCCCAGCCTCCTTTTCGCTATCAGAGGCCTTCAGGAACTTCTTTCTCTGTGGCCGGCAAGGTTTTTCTGGAGGCCTCTGCAGCCAATATCAGAGCTCCGGATCGATGAAGGCTGCAGAGGCCTTCAGGAAAGCCTTGCCGGCTGCAGAAGAAATAGGCCAGTGAGGCAGGTGTCGGGGTGTGCGAAGTCTGGCTGTAACTGTCCGAAGGCAAGTAGCAAGGCAGCTCCACTCCACCCCCATCCCCACCTTAGCTTAATTTTTACCTGTGCAGCCTGAAGTGGGTGGGGTCTTAATTAGGGCTTATTTTGGGGATAGGACTTATATTGGGCGCACGTGTAAAAATCAAGCTACGATTTCGTTTCGGGATAGGTCGTATTTTCAGAGAAACACGGTATTTCCTCCTGTAAGAATTACTGGGCTGGACACACCATCTCAACAGCCTTATTGTCCTTTCTCTCCATGGCTTTTGGTGCACACAGCCGAGATGGTTATCCAAGTCAAGAATCCTGGTTTAATAGACCGGGCAGCTGTCCTGGGGTTTGCTGGTTAAACTAACCTGAAAAGCTGCTGGATGACTGCCTCCACCAGCCTGGAACGGCTCTTTGGTCTTAAAAAGATTCACCACGTCTCCAAATGCAGCAATTGCACAGATGTTGAAGCACATCTGTAGCCAGGCGAAGGAATGAAATCTTTCCCGCACGGGCAATATAATAATTGAATATCGATCTGTACTGCTACCTATTGCAAAGCCAGAGATGTAGAAACAAGACGGATGTTTTTAGAAGGATTTATTATTAGAAATATGCCTTTGATTTGCCTTGTCCATAACAAAGTGCCTGCACTGTAAATTGTTAAACTAACTCCCCACCCCTGAATACGTTAATAGCCCTCTTTGCGGGATACCACCGGGGAGGGGGGAACCCTGCTGAAAATTTAAGAGGGGTGAAAAATGTTAAATGCCACCACCAAATGCTCTCGCTGCTCAGAAGGAAAATTAGCATCAAGACAGCAGCCTTGGTCCAAAACCCATTTGCCCAATTGGAGAAACCAAAAAAAAAACTCCACACAGCCTCGAGAATGCAAAGTTTGCCTTCCGATTGCTGTGAGTGACTCACACCCAAACAGATGCAGTTTCTCCATCTTTCCTTCCCTTAATGTCCGAATGGCACCTTTCCTCGAATCTAGCACTGTAGATTCAGCTTGTTGGAAAGTTGACACCGTCAGTGTTCTTTAACCAGAAACCAGCATTTTCAAGCCTTCGAGGATTTGAACCAGCTCTGTTCTTTACTACCAGGAAGCCTCTGCTCCCTGGGGTTTTCCTGCAGAGGCCTGCTCTTATTTTAAATCTGATTTGAGTTTTTATTACTTGTAGGTCAGGAAGTTTACAGACGATAAAGAATCCAATACAAGAACGCCACTAGGAAGAAGTAGGCAATGAATTTGCCCTCTCCAGATTTAGTCATTTTTACTGTCGGGGTGAGGAAAAAAGTAAAATTGATCCTAACAAACCACTCGCTCCTTTAAAGCCACAGGAAAGTTACTCACGGCTCAGTCTTAACTATGTTTCTAGGTTGTTTAGATCCTTGTCAGGTTGGTGTTTGGGAAACCCTTTTCTGCATCTCTCGGGCAGCAGAGTTTTTATGCTTTTTTCCCCCTTTTCACTCAAGGCTCCAGATCTATTTCATAGGAAAGAGGTTTTTAGCATGGATCCCCTGTTTAGCTTCCCCGAGAAGGGAGTGAGGTGCAAAGGAAAATGTTAGCTGGACGGCTCTACTTTCTGGTCTCAGGCAAGGAAGACGTGTGTCATCACGACTACAAAATCAGTTTTCGGGTTAATGGGGCAAGGAAAAGGGTTTGGAAGCCCACCCACCCCCTGCGCCCATCTTTGAGGAAGATTAGGAAAAAAAAGAGACTCCAATTAGTGCATTTTCCTCTTTTTGGGTCCAAGGCGCCGCTGCCGTTGCTTGTAGAGGTGACGGAAAAGGATAAACGGTGCTGAAAGAAAAAATATGGAGGAAGGATGAGTTTTCGTTCTTGAGATCAGAAACCCTAACAGAAATCAAGGAGCCATCCAGACAGGACTTCTCAACCTTGGGGACTTTTAAGATGGGTGAACTTCAACTTCCAGAATTCCTCAGTTAGCATGGGGAACCATCCAGGCAGGGCTTCTCAACCTTTGGGACTTTAAAATGGGTGAACTTCAACTCCCAGAATTCTGCAGCCAGCATGGCTGACTGGAGAATTCTGGGAGTTGAAGTCCACTCATCTTAAAGTCCCAAAGGTTGACAAATAGTGGGGAAGTCTATGAGGATAATAGACTTTCCTAAAGCTTGCTAAAAGGTAAAGGTTCCCCTCGCACATATGTGCTAGTAGCCGTTCCCGACTCTAGGGGGCGGTGCTCATCTCCATTTCAAAGCCGAAGAGCCAGCACTGTCTGATGACGATCCCATGGTCATGTGGCCAGCATGGCTAGCCATGTAGCTAAAGCTTGCTACAGAAGAGAAATTCATCTTGGTCACATCTTTAACAACTAATCTCCTTCCATGCTGCATCATGGCCTGTCAACTGATTTGCTATCTCCCATACTTTTATGAGCTCCTCGCATGGCCGGTGGTTGCTCGGCATCTTGGTTGTCTTCCTGGCCAACAGAGGTCAGGTAAAGGAGGGTGGGAATTGTGTAGATCTCACCAGCAAAACAAAACAGACAAGGAAAACTCTGGATACAAGACCCTCCCTGACCAGCCTGGCTTCTGCCCCAGCCCATAAGAGGGGCAACAGTGACCAGAACATCTGTCCAAGGACTCCTCTCATGTGAACCCACCAGATGTCAAGGCAACGGCAATAAGGTGGAGTTCAAGATTTGCATCTAAAGATTTTATGATGCAGATGATCCTTATCAAAGATCTTCAGATCTTTGATGGTTAGACCAGGGGTCTCCAACTTTGGCAACTTGAAGACTTGTGGACTTCAACTCCCAAAATTCCTCAGCCAGCTTTGCTTGTGGACTTCAACTCCCAGAATTCCTCAACCAGCTTTGCTTGTGGTCTTCAACTCCCAGAATTAATGTTCTAAGTTCAAGATATACTACCGATATACCTTGTGTGTGTGGTATATAAGCTTTTTCTGGGGGAGAGGGGGAAGAGGGGGAGGGGGGGAAACAGGACGGACACCTCCTGCAACACCCTGCCGGTCAAAACAGGGCACGCAGAGGCCTTGTGAGGCCCCCGCATGGCCAGTTTTCGGCCTCCATGGCCTCCTGCTGTCAACTCATAACGCATCCCTGGCCTGCTCTCAAATTGCCATAGGCCAGGGGGGATAGGAAACCGGAGAAACGCTCTCTCAAGGCTGTATCCCAGGGTTACCTACAGCAGCTGGAGGGGAGTGACTTCTACAACTTGCAAAATTGCTCCCTTGGTGAATGTGTTTGATGACACACCCTGGGGGGAGGGGGGGGAAACAGGAACATAATTGGGGCGTAAATTATGTAGGGTCAGAGCTGGCTTCACTTGGGAACTGCCGACATTAAGCTCCTAATAAATAACTGGATTTCTTTTGAAGCTTGGCTCGAGGCTCATGATTTAATTAGGGCATCTGTCGGAACCCTGACATCTGCAGCACTCTGCCAGCCAAAAATAGGGAGGACGAGGAGACCGAGCCCACCCGCAGCCCATTTTGACCGGCAGAGGCACTACGGACCGGTCCTTTGATATTTCCAGGCTGGCCCCACGGGCCAGATTTAAGCACCGGATCTGGCCCACAGGCCTTGAGTTTAACACCCCTGGAATAGATGATATCCCTGCCAATTGAAAACTCACCTAAGAACAAGAAGATGAGATGGAGCTGCAGAAAGACAGAAAACGGAACGGTGATGGTCAGTGGATAATTGATGGTGAAGCTGAATTTTCCAGTGCTGTTGAAGATAGGAATGGCCTGGATCACGGCTACAGCTAAAAACAGAAAGGAAAGGTTAAAAGGCCTTTTGGGGAAGAGCAACATACAATGATAGAAACTGAGCTAAGCTTCCGAGGCCGGACAAAATTAGATTAGATTAACAGAGTTGTAAGGGACCTTGGAGCAGGGGGGGGGGGTTCAGCAGGTTCTGACCAGTTCTGGAGAACCGGTAGCGGAAATTTTGAGTAGTTCGGCAGACCAGTTGCTGTCAAGCCAACCCATCCTCAAGATTGTGGGATTTCTGAGTGGTCTCCCATTCATCAGCCCAGCCGTTTTGCGCTTCGGAGGCTGGCCAAGGCAGGACAGGGCCTGCCAAGCCAACCTCCCCACAAGCTACAGTTCATCCTTAGCTTTTGACCACAATTGGGATTAGAGTTTCCACTGCTAATCAAGTTGGCTGTTAAGTGAACCATGGCTGATTTTACAACCTCCCTTGCCAAGGCTAAATGAATCATTGTTGTTAAGTGAATCACAGCAAATCTGATTTCCCCCTTTGACTTGGAAGCCAGTTGGGAAGGTCACAAACAGTGATCAACTAACACCCGGGATCAGTGGTGGATTTCAAATTTTTTTACTACTACTACTACTACTTTCTGTGGGTGTGGCTTGGTGGGTGTGGCATAGCTTGATGGGCGGGGCAGGGGAAGGATACTGTAAAATCTCCATTCCCTCCGCACTCCAGAGGAAGGATACTGCAAAATCCCCATTCCCTCCCCACTCCAGGGGAAGGATACTGTAAAATCTCCATTCCCTCCGCACTCCAGGGGAAAGTTACTGCAAAATCCCCATTTCTTCCCCACTCCAGGGGAAGGATACTGCAAAATCCCCATTCCCTCCCCAAGGTTGGCAAGGCAGGGCAGGGGCTGCCAAGCCAACTTCCCACAAGCTACAGTTCGTCCTTAATTTTGACCACAATTGGGATTAGAGTTTCCACTGCTAATCAAGTTGGCTGTTAAGTGAACCATGGCTGATTTTACAACCTCCCTTGCCAAGGCTAAATGAATCATTGTTGTTAAGTGAATCACAGCAAATCTGATTTCCCCCTTTGACTTGGAAGCCAGTTGGAAGGTCACAAACAGTGATCAACTAACACCCGGGATCAGTGGTGGGTTTCAAATTTTTTACTACCAGTTCTGTGGTGTGGCTTGTGGGTGTGGCATAGCTTGATGTGGGGGCAGGGGTAAGGACACTGTAAAATCTCCTTCCCTCTGCACTCCAGGGGAAGGTTACTGCAAAATCCCATTTCTTCCCCACTCCAGGGGGGATACTGCAAAATCCCCATTCCCACTGGGGAAGGATACTGCAAAATCCCCATTTCCTTCCCACTCCAGGGAAGGATACTGTAAAATCTCCATTCCTCCCCACTCAGGGGAAGGATACTGCAAAATCCCCATTTCCTCCCCACCAGGGGAAGGATACTGCAAAATCCCCATTTCCTCCCCACTCCGGGGAAGGATACTGTAAAATCTCCATTCCCTCCCCACTCCAGGGGAAGGATACTGCAAAATCCCATTCCTCCATCCAGGGGAAGGATACTGTAAAATCTCCATTCCCTCCCACTCTAGGGGAAGGATACTGCAAAATCCCCATTTCCTCCCCACTCCACGGGAAGGTTACTGCAAAAGCCCCATTCCCTCCCCACTCCAGGGAAGGATGCAAAATCCCCATTTCCTTCCCACTCCAGGGGAAGGATACTGCAAAATCCCCATTTCCTCCCCACTCCAGGGGAAGGATACTGTAAAATCCCATTTCCTCCCCACTCCAGGGGAAGGATACTGTAAAATCTCCATTCCCTCCCCACTCTAGGGGAAGGATACTGGCAAAATCCCCATTCCCTCCCCACTCCAGGGGAAGGATACTGCAAAAGCCCCATTTCCTCCCCACTCCAGGGGAAGGTTACTGCAAAAGCCCCATTCCCTCCCCACTCCAGGGGAAGGTTACTGCAAAATCCCCATTTCTTCCCGATCAGTTGGGACTTGGGAGGCAGAGAATAGATGGGAGCAGGGCCAGTCAGAGGTGGTATTTACCGATTCTCCGAACTACTCAAAATTTCCTCTACCGGTTCTCCAGATCTGGTCAGAACCTGCTGAAACCCACCTCTGCCCGGGATGCACAAATCATCCTAAATACACGCGAGATGCCAGGTGCCAGAATTCTCATCATGAGACCTTGGGGATGTTGCAATGGTCGTAAGTGCGAGGAACAGTTGCAAGTCTCTTTTTCCAGTGCCGTTATAACTTTGAGCGGCTGTTTAACGAATGGTTGCAAGTGAAGGACTATCTGTGCTTGTATTTCGGGAGAGAAAGAGGAACAATACAGGTAGTCCTCGAATTACGACCACAATTGAGCCCAACATTTCTGTTGCTAAGCAAAACGTTTAAGTGAGTTTCGCCCCATTTTACGACCTTTCTTGCCACAGTTGTTAAGTGAATCACTACGGTTGATAAGTTAGTAACCCAGTCGTTAATTGAATCCGGTTTCCCCATTGTCTTTGCTCATCAGAAGGTCGCAAAAGGGGATCAAGTGACCCCGGGACACTGCGACTGTCATAAATATGAGGCAGTTGCCAAGCTTGTCTGAATTTTGATCACGTGCTCATGGGGGTGCTGCAAAGGTCGTAACTGTGAAAAATGGTCCTAAGTCACTTTTTTTTGGTGCTGTTGTAACTTCGAACGGTCACTAAATGAATTGTTGTAAGTCGAGGACTACCTATGCAACTTTCCCCAGCCTATGCCAAACCCCAGTCAATGGGCAAGACCATAGAAGCAAGGACCACCCTGAATTCATTAAAATATTTTTTAATGTTAGTCTGAGGTAAATACAAAATCTCTGACTGTGACAGTTATCGAGGGCTGTTGTAACTTTGAACGGTCACTCAATGAGCCGTTGTAAGTCAAGGACTACCTGTATTCCAAGTGTGGTCTCACCAGGGCAGTATATCCACCAGGGGTAGGCTTCAAAAATTTTAGCAAGGGGTTCTCTGCCCGGCTGCTGGGTGGGTGTGGCCATGGTGGGCGTGGCCTAATTGGCCTCCTGCACTAGGTTGGGGGTGGGTGGGTGGCATTTTTGCCCTCCCCAGGCTCCAGAGGCTTTTCTCGAGCCTCCGGGAGGGCGAAAACGGCCTTCCCAAGCTCCGGAGGTTTTTCGTCCTCTCTGAGTCTCAGGGCGCACCCTACACTTACCTGCATCCGAAACGGGCCGCGTGGGGATTCCTGGGAGGGGCGGGGCCAGGAGTGGGATTTGGGGGCTCTCCGAACTGCACAGAATCTTAGCTAGAGGTTCTCCCGAATCCCTGCGAACCCCCAGCAGCCCCACCCTTGTTATCCACTCATATTTTTCCCACGTACCTTCTGCCAACATTCCCAGTGGATAGAGAGGCATCCATATGGTGTATCGAAGCCAAGTAAGAATTTTCCATTCTACATCAATGCTGGAAAGCAAATAGAAGGGATACCTAGAAGGAAACAAACCAACATCAAGTCATCTCTTATCGCTCACCTGGTTGGTGCAAGGCTGCAGTAGAAGGAAATGGGAATGGATTAACAACAACCACACCTTACATCTCATTGCTCAGCACACTGAAAGTGTTAGATGTTCCTTAGTAAACCTCATGTGTATTTTATAGAGGCCTTAAAAATCAAGATTAAAAAGTTCACCTGACCAAATCAAGGTAAGACAAGCCAGAGATAGCTAAATTGACTTCTCTAAATTGAAGAAAAAAAAATCACAATTACTGTATTTTTCAGAGTATATTTTCCCCCCAAAAAAGAGGGTGAAAATCTGGGTGCGTTTTATACTCTGAATGTAGCCCCACCCAGCCTCTCAAACATTTCAGAGGCTGAAAAAAGCCTCTGAAAGAAGCTTCAGGAAAAAAGCCTCTAAACAGAGTTTCAGAAAAAAAGTCTGTGAAAGGAAGCTTCAGAAAAATAGCCTCCGAAACAGAGCTTCAGAAAAAAAAAGCCTTTTTTTCTGAAGCTCTGAATGGGGGGCTTTCACAAAAAAAAAAAAAAAAAAAAAAAAAAAAAAAAAAAGCAAGGCACAGAGCTCACAACCTGTTGCTAAAATTCACCTCTGGGAACAGCTGATTGGAGGTATTCCGGGAGGCTGATCCACCTGCCAATCAGCTATTTTCTTATTTTCCTTTCCAAAAACTAAGGTGCGTCTTATACTCCGGTGCGTCTTATAGTCTGAAAAATATGGTACTTTTGTTTCTACTTGGAAACTGCTTCTGGACTTTGTATTTGAGGTGGAAAAAAATGTAAGTTTTGATTTTGGGCTTTACTGATTACAGAAGTTACAGAAGAATGGAAGGGACCTTGTAGGTCATCTAGACCAACCCCCCCCCCAAGCAGGAGAACCTATACCAGTGATGGCTAACCTTTTTGCCGTCCTGTGCCAAAAGCTGGGGGAGTGCATGGTGGTTGCGCGTGGGCGTGCCCACACCCATAATTCTATGCACCCTCCCCCCATGCATGCATGTGTGACCCCATGTCATGTGATAGCACGGAGGGCCCGATAGGCCCATTTTTTTGCCCTCCCCAGGCTCCAGAGGCTTTCTAGGAGCCTGGGGAGGGCAAAAACATCCTTCCCCACCTCCCCAGAGGGCCTCTGGAGGCTGGAAACAACCCGTTTGCTGACTTCCGTTGGACCTGGAAGGCCCAAAAATCAGCTGGCCGGCATGCACATGTGCGCTGGAGCTGAGCTAGGGCAACGCTCGTGTGCCCACTGATATGGCTCCGCGTGCCACCTGTGGCACGCATGTCATAGGCTCGCCATCACGGACCTATTCCATTTCTGACAGATGGCAGACCAGTCTCTTCTTTAAAACTTCCAGTGATGAAGCTCCCACAATTTCTGAAGGCAACTTCTGTTCCATGGGTTGATTGTTCTCACTTAAATAGGTTTGTTGTTATAGAATTGGCTAGTTTATACTATTATGTAAAAGTGAAAAGATGAGGTTTGATGTTATTATCTTATTTTACTACATCAAAAGGAGACAGATATCAACACTTTCTCTTTCTTTTATACTCTTTCTCTCTTTGTCCCCGATTTTCCTTCTATTTTCTTTTGCATTTTTTATTATAAATTAATAAAAAGGGGGGGGGGAAGATAAGTAGAAGCAATGCTACCTGTTCACCAGAAAAAAGGGCAATATTCTAAAAATATAGAGTTTTATTCTCCTGATCACAGAGGTTTAAAAGCAGAGGTTTTCTTAGAGATGTTGGGGATTAAACTACCGACCTCTAGAAGGTATAATTTGTAGCTCAGGGTTGGAGGAGCCTTGGTGCTTTCTGAGCTGGTTTGTTTTCTTTTTTTCATTACCCAACTAGCTAGCAAATGCCACCTCCTTCTAGCACTGATGATGTTACCTAGTTTGGTAATGAAATGCCTTCAAGAAAACAACCAAGCTCAGAGAGCACCAAGGACAACACAGTCCTCTTCCTCCTCCTTTCCTCCCTCCTTCCCTCTCAACTGATGATGGTACCTAGTTGGGTAATGAAACATCTGCAAGAAAACCAGGCACCAAGGACTCCATGCTACCCACCTCTGTTTGCAACCAGTAAGAGGTGAAGCAATTGCAAGTGAGAAGTGCAAATGAAAATAAAATGGTTAAGCTAAAGTTTCACAGAAAAGTTGTGGGCTGGGGGTGGAGGGACCCCAAGATGATAATGGAGAGACGGCAACAGGCAAGAATCTTGCAAAGGATTTCAGGTACAACGGCCCCCTTCCTTTCCACCCCAATTATTTCATCAAGCTGGCCTGGCCTAAATCATCTCCTCTTTTAAATTTAAATTTTAAATGTAAATTTTTAATCTGTTTAATTATGGGGTATTTTAAAATTCAGCCTAAATTATTTAATTTGTTTTAATTTATTTTAGATTTTGTATTTCCTGTGTTTTATCTTCTGGCTGTTCACCGCCCTGAGTCCTTCGGGAGAAGGGCGGTATAGAAATTTAAATAAATAAATAAATAAATAAATAAATAAATAAATAAATAAATAAATACCTGATGATCTCAACCGTGCTCCAGATGTAGAAGATGAAGAAGACGACTGCTTTGCTCTGCATTTCTTCCACGCTTCCAAGAACTACAAACAATATAAAATTCCTCCCAAAGATCTGGAAAGGGGCCAAAAGAGAGATGCAGAGAGGTCAGTAATGGGAGGAAGGCTTATCCCTTCCGAGATCAGATGCTTCAAATATACACTGCGAACAAGGAACAAATCCCAGTGAGATTCAGCCAAGCTTTTCGCAAGCTGCTGTCTTCAGAAGTTAGAATTCCAATGTCTTAGAATTCCCACCTATTTTAGGGATTGGGGAAGCAGGTATGTTCCTTTTCCCACCATGCAGAAGAGCTGTTGTGGGAATGATGGGGAAGAAGACCTGCGTTGCTAACTCATTCAGCTTCTGTCCCAGAAAACTAGGCACGCAAGCTGAGCTCCGGTGCGCATGCGTGCGCCGGCCAGCTGATTTTCAGGCCTTCTGGGCCCACCAGAAGTCAGGAAACACGCTGTTTCTGGCCTCTGGAGGGTCTCCGGGCGGGGTGTGTGTGTGAGGAAGGCCCGTTTTTCGCTCTCCCCAGGCTCCAGAGGCTTTCTAGGAGCCTGGGGAGGGTGAAAATGGCTTTCCTCACCCCCACCCGGAAAAAATGCTTTTAAAAGTAAAAAAGAAAAAACAGCCTCTGATGATCGTGTGGCTCAGCTGGGCATGGGGGGGGCAGGGATTTTTGCTACCAGTTCTCCAAACCACCCGCCACCATCGCTACTGGATCGGGTAATCTGGTCCGAACCGGTAGCATTTCACTCCTGGTTCAGATTCTTGTAGAGAGCACAAGTTTGCAATAAACCTTTCATTTGAACTGCCTGGGCTTCCTAATTTTCCCATGTTTGACAGGAATTCTGGAAGTCCACCCACCCACCTTAAGGTAGAACTAGAATTCACCACCTCCTGGAGATTGGCCCAAAGCAGGGCCGGATTTAGATGAAAAGAGGCCCTAGGCTATTCCACTTATGAGGCCCTTTCACCTATAGTGAAAGTGTAATTTTAATTTTGCTAACAATTTGAATGTAGGCCCCTCTTGATCTTGAGGCCCTAGGCTGAAGCCTAGTTAGCCTATAGGAAAATCCGGCCCTGGCCCAAAGTCATCCAACAGCTTTCCTGCCTAAGGGAGGACTAGAACTCACAGCTTTAAGGTTTCCAGTCTGATATTTTAAACTCTAATTTCCTCTAATGAAGCATCAAAGGCAGGAAGCTTTTGGAGAGCTCTCAGCCTATATATCAAAACTTTGCACATCATTAGATGCCCAAGACTCACTCAAGAGAATTACTAGCCAGCAGAATGATGTAGTATACAATCCTTTGTCATTTCTACTCTAAGACAGAAAGTATTAAAGAGATATCTTTCATTGATCTCTTGCACTGACAAAACAAACCTTCAGCCAGCCCCATAAAAATGAGTTTTTAATGCTTTCCAAAGTGGTTTGCAAAGGGATTACCTGGATACAAACAGGAGCTAAAGGAGCTTTGACGAGGCCTATCAAGGCATTGACAATCTCCATCAAGGCAAACATCTGGCAGAAGTACATCATGTCCCCACTCATGTGGAAAGTATCTGAGAAAGAGTCTGCAAGAACATAAGATAATTACCTGTAATTGGACTGTGAAGGAAGGAGATCTACTAAATGCAAAGCGAACCAGGAATACATTTCAGAGTGATTTTAGGCATCTTGCAAAAGATAAAACTGCTGCCACAATTTCCATGGGCTATGAAGCACCTGTTTCAAATGTTTTGTCCAACCCTATCCAGCTAACATGGCCTACATTACATAGAAGATAGTATCATAGGGCTGGAAGAGATCTTGGAGTTCTTCTAGTCTAACCTGCTACTCAAGGCAGGAGATTTACACCATCCTGGTGAGAAATAGACTGCTTGCCCAGTCTATTTTTGAACATTTCCAGTAATGGAGCACCCACAACTCCAGGAGGCAAGCTGTTCCACTGATTCTTTGTGCTGTTAGAAAATTTCTCCTTAGTTCTAGATTGGATCGCTCTTGAATGATCTTCTGCCCATCACTTCTTGTTCTGCCTTCAGGTGCTTTGGAGAATAAGTCAGTCCCCTCTTCTCTGTCACAGCTCCTCAGGTATTGGAATGAAGTTATCATGACTTTTCTAATCCTTCTCTTCGATAGGCTAGACCACAGTTGTCAAACTCCCGGCCTGCAGGCCAGATGTGTCATGTGCTGGCCACGCCCACGACGGGTTTGACGAAGGGGGTGGGGAAGTCCTAATATGTCATGTAATGTTGCCGTGACGATGTGAGTTTGGACACCCCTGGGCTAGTCACACCTAGCTCCCTCAACTGTGGATAGTATAGTATAGTATAGTATAGTATAGTATAGTATAGTATAGTATAGGATAGGATAGTATAGGATAGGATAGGATAGGATAGGATAGGATAGGATAGGATAGGATAGGATAGGATAGGATAACTGAGTTGGAAGGGATCTTAGAGGTCTTCTAGTCCAACCCCCTGCTTAGGCAGGAAACCTTATTCCATTTCAGACAAATGGCTGTCCGGTCTCTTCTTAAAAACCTTCTTTTAAGGGAGGGAGAGAGGGAGGGAGGGAGAGAGGAAGGAAGGAAGGAAGGAATAACTGAGTTGGAAGGGACCTTGCAGGTCTTCTAGTCCAACCCCCTGCCCAGGCAGGAAGCCCTAAACCACTTCAGACAAATGTTTAACCAGTCTCTTCTTAAAAACTTCCAGTGTTGGAGCATTCACAACTTCTTGAGGCAAATCGTTCCACTGATTAATTGTTCTAACGGTCAGGAAATTTCTCCTTAGTTCTAGGTTGCTTCTCTCCTTGATTAGTTCCCATCCATTGCTTCTTGTTCTACCCACAGGTGCTTTGGAGAATAGCTTGACTCCCTCTTCTTTGTGGCAGCCCCTGAGATATTGGAAGACTGCTATCATGTCTCCCCTGGTCCTTCTTTTCATCAAACTAGACATACTCAATTCCAGCAACTGTTCCTTGTATGTTTTAGCCTTCAGATCCCTAAATATCTTTGTTGCTCTTCTCTGCATTCTTTCCAGGGTCTCAGCATCTCTTTGTGTCATGGTGACCAGAATTGAATGCAGTATTCCACGAATGCAGCATAAAGCAAAGCAATCCTATCATTTTTTGGGATCTTGATGCTATTCTTTGTTTGATGCAGCCCAGAACTGCACTGGCCTTTTTGGAAGCTGCAACACACTGCTGGCTCATACCTAAGTAGTGATCTACGAGGGCCTCTAGATCCCTCTCCCATATCTTCTCACAGACCCACCACCCAAAGTATTATTAATAAGTGGAACTGCTAGCAATTAGCCCTAGAGTTAAAAGTCTGTAGAGATTCTCAGTCATCCAGATCACAACTGGGAATCTCTACAGATTTTTAGCTATGCAATTTGGGATGAACAACCTTTGAATAATGTGGGAGTAGAAATGGATTTCCAGAGGAAAAAATTGCATACCAGAGGAACCATTTGCACTACTCAGGTGACCCTGAGGACACAGATGAACCTCTAAGGGCTTCAATGACCCTCTAAAAGGATGCAAATGACCAGCTGTCTGCAAGGAGTATAAATCCTTCCATTCCCCACCCTCCCATCACAGCTGAAGAAGCTTCTTGGATGAGAAGTGAAACATCTTCAAAGAAAAACCAGAAAGTCCAGTTGCCTCCTGAAAAAGCACCTTTGGGACAACCATGACCTGGATGACTGAGAATCTCTACAGACTTTTAGCTATACAATTTGGGATGAACTCCCTTGGAATGGTGTAGGAATAGGAATGGATTTCCAGAGGGGAAAAACTGCAGGCTACAGAAACCAGGAACAAGTCTCAGGCGATCCTGAGGAGACAGATAAGCCTCCAAGTGCTTCAAGGACCCTCTAAAACAGGGTGTCAAACTCACGTCGTCATGTTGTTGTCACATGATGTATCACAACTTTTTTCCCTTTGCTAAACCGGGGGTGGGCGTGGCCAGCATGTGATGTATCCAGACCATTCCCCAGTCTCCTGTCAGAGCTGAAAAAGTTTCTTGGATGAGAAGTGAAATGTCTTCAAAAGAAAAAACAAGAAAGTCCAGTTGCCTCCGGAAAAATAGCCCTAGAGTTCTTTGCTTAAAACACAATCTTCTTCCAATGATACAGCAACGTATTGAATTTAAACCAGAGTTGTTCCTACTGGGTATCTTTCCAGAAAAAATTAGTAAGGAAAATGTATATTTGATCATACATGTAATAACAGCTGCAAGAATTGTGTATGCTCAAAATTGGAAGTCAGAGAAAATACCTTTGGAAGAAGTAATAAAAAAATTTTTTAGATTGTGCAGAAGTGAATAGATTAACTCTGATGATTAAAGATAAGGAAGAATCAGAATATTTTAAAACATGGAATTATTTTTATAGTTGGTTGGAAAAGAGATATAAATGACTGATACCATAATTATGTATAAATGATGATTACAACATTGATTTAGCAATGAAATGAAGGACCCAGATTGTGGGGGCAATAAGCTGACTTTGTATAAATATACAAAAGGATGAAGGCTATTGCTTAACGCATTATAAGGCGCCCTGAGTCTCCGGAGAAGGGCGGCATATAAATTAAAGCAAAAAAAAATAAAAAATGTTAGAATGGTTTGGATGAAGATGAAGATAAAAGAAACTTATGGAAGATGGAGAAGAAGCCTAGAAGATAACACCGAGATGTCACAGGAAAGGGAGGATTGATGTATTAAATGTTTGTTTGCCTTAAAAAATAAAAATAAAAATACTAAAAAAACAACAACAACACAATCACAGAGCCGAGGTGGCGCAGTGGTTAGGGTGCAGTACTGCAGCTACTTCAGCTGACTGCTAGTTCAGCAGATCAGTGGATCAAATCTCACCGGCTCAAGGTTGACTCAGCCTTCCATCCTTCCGAGGTGGGTAAAATGAGGACCCAGATTGTTGGGGGCAATGTGCTGTTTAGTATACTGTCGATTGTTATAAACCCCCCAGAGTCCTTGGGGAGTGGGCGGCTTAGGAATGTGATTAATAAATAATAAAATAAATAAATAAACCTTCTTCCAACGAGTTACAATTTTCCCAGAAGGACCAACTACAGAAGTTGGAATATGGGGCCTGGCGCAGATCAAACCACCGGCCTCGCAAGGCACCTCTCCCTTAAACCCACTCTAGTTTCTTGGGCAGGTAGACAAGGAGGATAAGAAGCATAAACTGCGCCACTTGCCTTTCCCCAGGATGAATAGCCGGACAGTCATGTTCACAAAGATCCAGGAAAAGCCCAGGAACTGCACGAGGTTGTACATGAACAAATAGCCTCTCTTCAAGTGTCGGAAAGCTGCAAGGGGTTACAGAACCAAGTTAGCAAAGGGTGAAGGGCAGACGTCTTTGGATGGTCAACTGCGAAAGTGGAGCCACTTACGATCTTTGGGGGTTCTGTTCTTGATACTGATTTTGTTTATCCGTTCTTCTTCCTAGATGTGAGAGAGAGAAAGAGAGAGAGAGAGAGAGAGAGAGAGAGAGCATGAAAACTGGTACATGGAATGGGAATCCAGAAGGGATCCAGTCTTGTGGTTGATACATTATTTGTAAATAACCGGCTGCTCTTTGTTTTGCCAAATGGATTGGCACACAAACAACTCAGAAAGCCTTATGGCAGGAAAAATGCAACGTAACGCATGATTTCATTTGCCTGCCTTCCCAAATCCAGCAGAGGGCATGATCCATCCTTTAGGTCAGGGGTCTTCAACCTTGGCAACTTTAAGACTTGTGGACTTCAACTCCTAAGAACACCGCTTGGGGGGGGCGAAAGCCCTACTAAGAAGGTATATACAAAAAGTATGAAGGCTATTGCTTAACGCATTGTAAGCCGCCCTGAGTCTCCGGAGAAGTTTGTTCTCACAGGGAGGGACTACTCCGGGTACCGTCAGTCAAATTATGCCGACTGGCGACTCCCAGGGGGAGGGCCTTCTCTGTGAGGGCTCCAACCCTTTGGAATGAACTGCCCCTGGAGATACGAAATATCCCTGATCTCCGTGCTTTCCGCCGTGCCCTCAAGACCCTGATGTTCCAACAGGCGGGGCTAAACATATGAACATGTTTTTTAAATGTTATCTAATTTTAGGTTCTATTTAATTGGGCCAAACTATGTTATAATAATAATTTTAATTAGCAATTTTATGATGTTTGTGTATCTATATTTTTCTTGACTGTACACCGCCTTGAGTCCTACGGGAGAAAGGCAGTATAGAAATATAATAAATAAATAATAAATAAATATAAATCGAACCAATAAATAAATAAATAAATTTTCACACTTACGGCCGTTGTAGCCTCTCCATGGTCATGTGATCAACATTTGGACACCTATTTATGACCGTGTCCTGCGGTCATGCTTTTGTGACCTTCTGGGAAAGCCAGATTCACTTAACAACCGTGTTACTAATTTAAGAACTGCAGTGATTCCCATAACAAGTGTGGCAAGAAAGGTCATAAAATGAGGCAAAACTCAGTTAAGTGTTTCACTTAGCCACATAAATGTTGGGCTCAATTGTGGTCGTATGTCGAGGATTCAGAATATCTGTATTCTGTTATTCTGAGATGCTTTCACAAACTGGAAAGAAAAACCTAGAGCCATCTCCCCAACTTTAAAGCCGTATTTAAGCAACAGAAGTCCTTCATGCCTTAACAACTCAAATCCGCATAGATCACCTATTTTTGTTTAGCGACAGGCTGCGAGAGTGTTAACAACTGTGGCAAGAAAGGCCATAAAATGAGGCAATACTCAGTTAAATGTTTCACTTAGCCATAGAAATCTGGGGCTCAATTGTCATAGGTCGAGGACTATCTGTATTTCTGTACCTCTGAGACAGAAAAAAAAAAAAAAACAACCACTTTTGCTCAACTTAAACGGAAAGCTGGCAAATGGCCCAGGGCTGCTGAGAGGCCCGTTTTCTCCTCCAAATGCCAAGGATTAAAGTACAAAGTGATAACAAGATTTGGCAATTTTTTTTCAAGCCCCGAGCTCTCCTGGATGTTGGCCAAAAAAAAATACTTAAAAAAATAAATAAAAGGAAGACACGATCTTGCAAGATTTTGGTGATCTGGCCTGATCTCAACTGAGCACTAACACGTCAAGAAATATCAGAATTGTGAAAGTTTACCAGCGCTTACACAAGAACACAGGTATTGCACAAGATCGGTTAATTTGGAAAGAGTCGTGTTTCTTTGTTTTCCATTCTACTTTTTAATTTAATGCTGGGGTTCTGCGGATGCCAGCTAAGAGTTACCTGGGGCAAATTCATAATGTTATATATGACAGTTGCACCGGTTTTCAACTGCAAGATTTAAGAGACATCATCCAAAGCATTTTTTTTAGACCTGGGAAAATACCACACTTATAAGGACGGGGTTTCCCAACCTTGGCAACTTTTAAGACCCGTGGACTTCAACTCCCAGAACTCTCCATTTATTAGCATCATGATTTATGACTGTAATGGACAGGTTCCATTAAGGTCATAAGTCAAGGACTACCTGCAGAATGCTGAGTATAGCACATGAATTACAGCCTTTTTTTTTTTTTTAATTTGATTTATATGCCGCCCTTCTTCGGAGACTCAGGGCGGCTTACATAACGCATTGTAAGCCGCCCTGAGTCTCCGAAGAAGGGCGGCATACAATGCGTTAAGCAATAGCCTTCATACTTTTGTATATTTATACAAAGTCAGCTTATTGCCCCCACAAACTGGGTCCTCAATTTACCTACCTTAGAAAGGATGGAAGGCTGAGTCAACCTTGAGCCTGGCGAGATTTGAATTTACAGTAATTGCAGATAGCTGGAGTTAAATTACAATGCATTAGTCTGCTGAGCTATCCAGGCTCTTGACGGGAAGGTTTGGGCAGATCTGACAGGTGGGCTCTGGGCTGAAAAATTCTTTGCTTAATGTCCACTGGAGAAGTCCTCTCTTCCTGACGTGCAGTGTCAGCCACCTGCCCTCACCTTGGCCTTCAGTTCCAACTCGGCATCCGATTCGTCCAGCCATCGGTCAAAATCTGGAGCGAGAAACAGCGGACGCTTCTCCTGCTTGGTCAGCCTCTCCCACCAGTGGCTCTCCTTCTTCTTCACCGTGATGTTCAGCTGCCTTTGGGTCACTTTACACACCGGCTGAAAGAGCAGGAGGGGCAAGAAAGCAGACACCCGTTTAAGGAAAAGGCAGGGGTGGGATTCAAAACTTTTAGCAACCGGTTCTCTGCCCAGTTGTCGGGTGGGCGCCTACTCGGCCCCCTGAACCATGGTGGGGGAAGGTGTTTTCACTCTCCCCAGGATCCAGAGGCTTTTCTCGAGCCTCCGGGAGGGTGAAAACAGTCTCCCCGGGCTCCAGAGATCCTCCGGAGGCTGGAAACAAGCCTGTTTCTGGACTTCCGGTAGGCCCGTTTTTCACCCTCCCCAGGCTTCGGAGGCTTTTCTCAAGCCTCTGGGAGGGTGAAAACAGCCTCCCCCCAGGCTCCGGAGCAGTGGTGGGTTCCTCCCGGTTCGGTCCGGTTTGGCCGAGCCGGTAGCGGTGACGATATGACGTCACTGAATCGGTTCTCCCCCTCCCGCCCTCCCACCCCCCCACATTATTCTTACCTTTTATTTGGTCCCACCCCCAATCTATTGCTGCCTCCTGAGTCCCAGCTGATGACTAGAGGGAAAAAAACTGTTTAAACTCTTGCCGAGGGGCTTCAAAGGGCCGTCCTACAGCTGATCAGTGTTAAAAGCAAACAAATGTGTCAGGTCGTAAGTGCGAGGACTGGTCGTAAGTGCGAGGACCTTCCAGAATTGAATCTGACCAGCTAGCCACACCCACCTAGTCACATGACCTCCAAGCCACACCCACAAAATAAGCCATGCCCACAGAACCGGTAGTAAAAAAATTTAGAACCCACCCCTGCTCCAGAGGCCCGTTTTTCGCCCTCCCAGAGCCTCCGCGCAGGCGCTGCACTTACCAGGCATCCAAAATGGGCCGCGTGGAGACTCCTGGGAGGGAAGGGGAGGGGGGGCAGGATCAGCCAGTCCTTGCAGCTACCGGTTCGGGGAACCAGATTAAAATTAACATCCAGTTCTCCCAAACTGGTCCGAACTGGCTGAAACCCACCCTTGGGAAAAGGGACTTCGGTGAAAATGCACCTTTAAAAAAAAAATACCAGGCTATGCTTGAACATGGTATGCCTGATGGGACGTTGCAAATACAAACCAGAAAGTGCACCATTGCAGCTGCCATTTTGACTTTTTTGACCACACAGCACTAACCTTCCCAATAAATACACGTAGTCCTCAACTTTCGACCAAAATTGACCCCAAAATTTATGTTGCTAAGTGAGAAACTTGTTCAGTGAGTTTTGCCTCATTTTACGTCCTTTCTTGCCACAGTTGTTAAGTGAAACACTTCAGTGGATAAGTTAGTAACCCGGTTGTTAAGTAAATCTGGCTTCCCCCATTGACTTTGCTTGTCAGAAGGTCGCAAAAGGGGATCACATAACCTCGGGACACTGCGACCGTCATAAATATGAATCAGTGGCCAAGCGTCTGGATTTTGATCACATGACCTTGGGATACTACAAAGGTCGTAACTGTGAATAATGGTCATAAGTCACTTTTTTCAGTGCTGTTGTAAATTTGAACTGTCACTCAATGAACTATTGTAAGTTGAGGACTAGAATAGAATAACAGAGTTGGAAGGGACCTTGGAGGTCTTCTAGTCCAACCCCCTGCTTAACAGGAAACCCTACTACCTGTATGTGTTTTCCAACATGCAACATTTTCCTGTGGATGTGGCCTTCAAACTGAACCCTTATTATGGGGCCAAGAAAGACAAAACTGTTCATAAGAAATAAGAAGTGACCGAAGTTAAAATGGTACTGAAAAACTGTGACTTATGACCAGTTTTCACACTTACGACTGTTGTAGAATCCCCAGGGTCACGTGATCAGAATTCAGACGCCTGGCAACTCATATTTGTGACAGTTACAGTGTCCCAAGGTCCCAAGATCCTCTTTTGTGACCTTCTGAGCATACTGCAAAATCCCCATTCCCATCCTACACCAGGGGAAGGATATTGCAAAATCCCCATTCCCTCCCCACTCCAGGGGAAGGATACTGCAAAATCCCCATTCCCTCCCCACTCCACGGAAAGGATACTGCAAAATCCCCATTCCCTTCCCACTCCAGGGGAAGGATACTGCAAAATCTCCATTCCCACCCTACTCCAGGGGAAGGATACTGCAAAATCCCCATTCCCACCCTACTCCAGGGGAAGGATACTACAAAATCTCCATTCCCACCCTACTCCAGGGGAAGGATACTGCAAAATCCCCATTCCCACCCTACTCCAGGGGAAGGATACTGCAAAATCCCCATTCCCTCCCCACTCCAGGGGAAGGATACTGCAAAATCCCCATCCACCCTACACCAGGGGAAGGATACTGCAAAATCCCCATTCCCACCCCACTCCAGGGGAAGGATACTGCAAAATCCCCATTCCCTCCCCACTCCAGGGGAAGGATACTGCAAAATCCCCATTCCCACCCTACTCCAGGGGAAGGATACTGCAAAATCCCCATTCCCACCCTACTCCAGGGAAGGATACTGCAAAATCCCCATTCCCTCCCCACTCCAGGGGAAGGATACTACAAAATCTCCCCCATTCCCACCCTACTCCAGGAGAAGGATACTGCAAAATCCCCATTCCCACCCTACTCCAGGGGAAGGATACTGCAAAATCCCCATTCCCTCCCCACTCCAGGGGAAGGATACTGCAAAATCTCCATTCCCTCCCCACTCCAGGGGAAGGATACTGCAAAATCCCCATTCCCACCCTACACCAGGGGAAGGATATTGCAAAATCCCCATTCCCACCCTACTCCAGGGGAAGGATACTGCAAAATCCCCATTCCCACCCTACACCAGGGGAAGGATACTGCAAAATCTCCATTCCCACTCCACTCTGGGACCAGCCAATGACGGTATTTGCCAGTTCTCCGAACTACTCAAAATTTCTGCTACCGATTCTCCAGAACCTGTCAGAACCTGCTGAATAGCATCCCTGCTTAGGATCATTTTTCAGCATCCCCCATGGTCATGTGATTTACGTTTGGATTGCTTGACAACTTGGTTCATATTTATGATGGTCCCAATGTCCCGGGTGTCATTTGCGGCCTTCTGACAAGCGAAGTCAATGGGGAAGCTGGATTCACTTAACAACTGGGTGACTAACTTAACAACTGTGGTAAGAAAGGTCGTAAAATGAGGCAAAACCGCATTAACTGTTTTGCTTGGAAATGGAACTTTGGCGCTTAATTGTGGTCGGAATTGGAGGACCATCTGTATAATTTCCAATTATTTGGGGGAAGACTGTGGCGTCCTTCAGTGATTCAAAACAACTTAGCTTCTTTATTTTTTTCCTGGCTGTTGATCCATTTCAACCTATCTGGCCAGAAAAGGCACTACGCAGAGACAATCTGACCATCGTGTGACTGTACAATTAAATATAAAATTATGCAAAAATAATTAAATGCATTGGAACTCTCTGAAGATTATCACACTTTTTAGGTTTGGGAGCATGTCTGACGAAAGTTATGAGACTTTGAGCGATGGTTGAAATCTCCCTGGATCAGGTGATCACTTAACTGATACTAGATTTGGCATTTGGGTGAGATTCCGCCTATTTTGAATTAAGGTATGAGTCGCAATTTGCTTTCTGGAATGGGTGCATGGCTTCTCCTTGGAAAGGTTTTAGTGTCTACAGTGACAACAAAACTTTTAGCGCCAAAATTGGAATTACTCCAGAACTAAAGCAAGCAGTAAATTGCTACAGAAGACCATTAAAATCAATCCAAATCTGTTGTAGGGAATTATCAGATTAACAGAGTTGGAAGGGACCTTGTAGGTCATCTAGTCCAACCCCCCATCCAAACAGGAGACCCTACACCATTTCTGACAGATGGCTGTCCAGTCTCTTCTTGAAAGCCTCCAGTGATGAAGCTCCCACAACCTCTGAAGGCAACTTCTGTTCCATGGGTTGATTGTTCTCACTGTCAGGAAATTTCTTCTTATTTCTAGGTTGAATCTCTCCTTGGTCAGTTTCCATCCATTATTCCTTGTCTGGCCTTCAGGTGCTTTGGAAAACAGCTTGACCCCCTTCCTCCTCTCTGGGGCAGCCCCTCAAATATTGGAAGACGGCTATCCTGTCTCCCCTGGTCCTTCTCTTCACTAGACTAGCCATGCCCAGTTCCTCCAACCGTTCATCGTATGTTTTAGCCTCCAACATGAAACTGATATATTATTGACTGCGAGGAACTCTCTAGAACAAGGTGTCCAACCTTGGCCATTGTAAGACCTGTGGACTTAACCAGGCTGGCTGAGGAATTCTGGGAATTGAGGTCCACAGGTCTTAAAGTTGCCAAGGTTGGATACCCCTGTTCTAGAAACAACCATCCTTAGCTACCCATGCCTGAGACACTATTGTCAGTTTACCATAGTCACTTTAGATGGGGAACATGGGCCCTGGGAAGACACGAGCTGAGGAAGGCTGCTGGAGGGTCCAGAAATAACTTTCAAATCAAGATATATAAAGCTTTCTGGTTTTACCCAGGAACAAGCTAGTTCCTCATAAGACTGAGATCAGGAAAACAAACAGCTTCTCCAGAAACCAGGTTATTCTGTGTCAGATGGGTTGTATACACAGAGAGAGAGAGAGAGAGAGAGAGGGAGGGAGAAAGAGAGAGACAGAAGAGAGAGAGAGCGAGAGAGAGAGAGGGAGGGAGAAAGAGAGAGACAGAGAGAGAGAGAGCGAGAGAGAGAGAGAGAGGGAGGGAGAAAGAGAGAGACAGAGAGAGAGAGAGAGAGAGGAGAGGGAGGGAGAAAGAGAGAGACAGAGAGAGAGAGAGAGAGGAGAGAGAGAGAGGGAGGGAGAAAGAGAGAGACAGAGAGAGAGAGAGCGAGAGAGAGAGCGCAACAACCAGCTGTTTGGTGACTGGACAGTTGAATTTAAAGATGGTGCAATTACCAAAAGTGTACAAGATCAGGCTTTTTCCTAATGTTCCCCTGGATTTTGTACATTTTATTTATTACAATTGAGTTTGCCTTATGGTCATTTCTAATTGAGCCAATCATTGGCCTGTATTTGCCAGGATGCTTAAATTTCACTCCAGGCAGTTAGAATAGAAAATAGAAAATAGAAAATAGAAATAGAAATAGAAATAGAAATAGAAATAGAAATAGAAATAGAAATAGAAATAGAAATAGAAATAGAAATAGAAATGTAGAGTAGAGTAGAGTAGAGTAGAGTAGAGTAGAGTAGAGTAGAATAGAATAGAATAGAATAGAATATCTCACTTAACAACAGAAATTTTGGGCTTAATTGGTGTCATAAGTTGAGGACCACCTGTACAAAGTAATATGAAGAAAGAAAAAAGAAAAAGAAATCACAGAAAAAGGAAGAAATGCAAGAAAAAAAAAGTTGAAGAAAAACAGGAAAGAAAAAAGATAGAGAGAAGTGGCTTCCGATATTCTTCACAGCCATAATAAGTACAAATATATTTTAATTTCTCTCTCTCTCTCTCAATTTACTCTTCTTTCTGTACCCTATCTGATCATCAAACCATAAATCACACATTTATTTATTTTTTTTGACATTTTCATGCAAAAGGTCCTTAAAGAGGTTTCCAGTCACCAATAAATGCAGATACAGTCTTTTTTCTAATAAAAAAAATCAATTTATTCATTGCAGCAAAACCTGCCAACTTCGCCCTGCATAGTGGGTGGTGTCAAATCTTTCCACCTCTGTACACATAGTAATCTCGCCACGTACGCTATGGGCCTCCTGCCCTTATTGCTGACCGCACAAACTTGCCTACAACTTGCAGGGCCTGAGATCTACACGGCAGGCAAACTTCATAAGCCACATTCAGGAGAGGCTGGAAAGACCAGAATTTCTAGTCTGGGTGCAAATATGATCGAGCAATTCAGGGGAGCCCATTCTATCTGGAGGGCGGTTGGATCATTTCATCACACCTTCCAATGCAATTGTGGTTGCTATGTGTCCATCATGCTTGTATCCAAAGAGCCAAAGCTTCTGCAATAAAACCTAGATCCAGTTCTGTGGGCACAAGATCCCTGGAAATACCAGCTGGGCTTTTACAGAAATCTGATGTTTGATAAGGATTCTTGCTGCAATGTTCTATTACACAGAGGTGTCCAACCTTGGTCACTGTTAAGATGTAT